TAGGAAATGAAGAATAAGACATGTGTATTAGCCTCAAGAGCACCATAGTTTGTCCACAGATAAACATAAAACTAACTAGCCTGAGTTCTAGGGGGTAAAATGTGCAGCAAAGAATGATGCACCAAAGAAGAAGGAATGATTCTAGCTGTATAGACAAAGGAACAGGGAGGGGAGCTTCTGGGGAATCTCAGACAAAGCAACATCTAGGTAGTGTGTTTCCTTCAGGAGATGTTTCCAAATTCATCCTATATTCTCACTACCTCTGATCTACATCATCTGAGCACAGTCCAAATAAAACCAAACTATTCTGAATATGTGAAGTGTCCAATATGTAAATTGTCTCGTGAAAGCAAGCAAGAATTTTCATTTGAAAACACCACTTAATTTGCAAATGTTTGAGGTTTAATTCTAAAATGACGTCCTGCTTTCATTCTCTCTTCAGGTGTAGATGGTTTATACCTAATTAAAAATCATAGAAGCTAAGACTACCCATTCCACTAATTTCTACAACTGAATGAGCTTTAAATTAATTGTTCAAAGGAGCTAGAACTTCAGATACCTCCCAGAACATTCCCATATTGTCAAGATTTATCTAAAGAGGTTGTATGTCCCTTGTGGTTCCTTTAATACCCAGTAACATATTAACTGTATTACGAAAAGCTTCTTGAAGGACAAGAAAAAATACATCTAGTTTTAGTCAACATTACTGTGTTCTATCTGGAAGTCCCAAGGAAAGAAAACACCTCTCCCATAATCGTCATATAAATTCCCAGTACCCATTCCCATCTCTGAAGTAGATTTCTGTGCAGAATGGCCACAACGATCACCTAGACCAATTGAGAGCCTTGCTATGATTTTCAGCCTTGCCAACTAAGCTCCAGATGGTGCCCACATTTGTGCAACAAGAAGCCCTCTCCTTTTGTCAGATAGTATGCTGCCCAACTATGTAACTTGGGTTTTCCCATTATCACTTTTTTACAACTTACAGAAATGCTCTTATCCATTGAAGATACTGAGAAGCCCAAAGAAAGGGAGCTCACATACAAATGTGTGTGCAGAGTGAAGGACCCTTTATGTGTAGCTGCTGGCTGGCAGCACTCCTGTTACATCTGTTTACTTATCAGCCTGTCCTTACTGCATTTTGAGTCACTGTACTTCACAAAGGCTGATTACTAATGATGATGGTGAATCACCACTTCTCTTTCCTCCCTGCCTTTTTAATAGGCTGGGAAGAGGTGGTCATATGAATGGCAGCAGCTGAAGACCTGGTTTCAACTTCTCCTGCTTAGCCTGCCAAGATGCCTTTCCCAATTACTCAGGACCTTGTGTAAGTAGAACATTTATCCCTTACAAGCATATATGCAAATCCCCACCAACAGGTAGTAATTAAGTGAATCCTATAAGATTACACACCATGATGAAGTGTCTTTTTCCCAGGCATGTATGCTTTATTTAGCATTCAATGTACATATAAATAGAGGGAAAAAAGTATTTCACAAAACATCATTGAAATCCCCACAAATTAGGGATAGAAAAAGGGTATAATAAATAGCATTTAGAAAAGTAAGTTTCAATCTTGGGAAACCTATAAGAAACTAATTAGAACAATGCATAGGTATATCAATATGGAAGAATAAAAATAGTATGTGAAAATGTCATAATTCTACAAGTTAACAATTACCAATTGGGCTAAAATTAAGAAAATGTCACCTTTGACAGTATCAGAAGGCATGTATGCTGAATAAACATAGTTATCACATATACATATTTATCAAAGAAATGAAATTGCTAAATAAACAAAGAGCTATTTCACATTTGGGGATTAGAACACACACCACTGACAAATAACAATATAAAGCAAAGGACAAAATGAAAGCACAGAAGAAAAAGATTATATTTTTTAAATTTTTTTCCTTTTTTGTCTTTTTTTTTTCAGTTTAAATTTAGATTAGAAACAAGGTTGCTTCACAAGTCAGTTCCAGGTCCCTCTTCCTTTCCTTCCCCTCCTCCCGTGCCCCCCAGCCCCCCCAATATCCCCTCATTTCCCCAGGGAGGGTGAGGCCCTCCACGGGGGTGTCCATAGTATGTCATTTCATCCAGGGCAGGGCCTAGACCCTCCCTCAAGAGTTCAGGGTGATAGTGCATCTCACATTGTTGGATGGGAGTCCAAAGTCCATGTGTATACTCGGGATGAGTACTGATCTACTGCCCAAGGCTCAATAGATTATCTAGGCCTCCTCACTGACACCCACATTCAGGGGGTCTTGATCAGTCCGATGCTGGATTCCCAGGCTAATGCCTGGGATTCAAGAGTTAACCTTTGTCTGGTCAGCTGTTTCTGGGGGTTAAACCGGCCCAGTCTTAATCACTTTGATCATCAGTCCTCCCTCTCTGTTACTGGATTTCTTGAGTTCAGCTCCGTACTTAACCGAGGGAGTCTGCCTCTTCTTCCATCAGCCACTGAATGAAGTTTCTGTTTCCCAGACTCTCTGGCCATGGGATTGTAGGCTGGCACTCCCCAGATCTATGTCTAAAATCCATATATGAGAGAGTATATGTCATGGTTCTCTTTTTGTGACTGTGTTACCTCACTCAGGATGGTTTCTTCTAGTGTCATCCATTTGCCTGAAAATCTCAGGATTCCATTGTTTTTTTCTGCTGAATAGCACTCCATTATGTAAATATACTACATTTTCTCTATCCACTCTTCTGCTGAGGGGCGTCTAGGTTGCTTCCAAGTTCTGGCTATTACAAATAATGCTGCTATGAACATAGTGGAATAGACATCCTTGTTGTATGAATGAGCATCTTTTGGATATATGCCTAAGAGGGGAGATGCTATGTCTTGTGGTAGGTTTATTTCCATTTTTCTGTGGAATCTCCATACTGATTTCCAAAGTGGCTGAACCAGTTGGCACTCCCACCAACAATGGAGGAGTGTTCCCCTTTCACCACATCCTCTCCAGCATAAATTGTCGTTGGTGTTTTTGATTTTAGCCATTCTGACAGGAGTGAGATGGTATCTCAGAGTTGTTTTGATTTGCATTTCCCGGATGGCTAAGGATGTTGAACACTTTCTCAAGTGGCTCTCAGCCATTTTAGACTCCTCTATTGAAAAATTCAGAATTTGGTTCTGCAGCCCACTTTCTAATTGGATCCTTTGGTGTTTTGGAGACTTGCTTCTTGAGTTCTTTGTAAATTCTGGAGATCAACCCTCTATCAGATGTGGGATTAGTGAATATTTTTTCCCATTTTGTGGGCTGCTTTTTTGTCTTGCTGACTGTGTCCTTTGCCTTACAAAAGCTTCTCAGTTTCAGGAGGTCCCATTTATTAATTGTTGATCTCACTGTCTGTGCTGCTGGTGTTATGTTCAGGAAGCTGTCTCCTGTACCAATTCGTTCAAGGGCACCACCCACTTTCTCTTCTAAGAGGTTCAGTGTGGCTGGATTTATGTTGAGGTCTTTGATCCATTTGGACTTAAGTTTTGTGCATGGCGATAAACATGGATCGATTCGTGAAGATTATATTTTTAATCAGTTGAGTTTTTAAAGATGCCAAGAAAATTCCATGTCAATGTAATTACCTTTTAAAAAATTAACAATTTCACATCTACACACAATAAATAATAAAATAGGCTGAGACCTTAAACTTCCCTCCATACACATGTGCATGCACGCACACACACACACACACACACACACACAAACACACTGCAAATGAACTGTGAACTTAGACAGAAGAACCAAAACAGCAAAACTTCTACTATAAAACAAAAGGAAGTGTTTTGTTGTTTGGTTAGGGAAAGAGGTCTTAGATGTGATACCAAAAGTGTAATCTTAAGGAATAACACTGATGAGCTAGTCTCTGATCAGTCTTGAAACTATAGGCCAGGCATGGTGGCACGTCTTTAATCCGAGTACATAGTGAGTACTGGGACAGCAAGTGTTATGTAGAGACCCAGTCTCAAAAATAGGAAGGAAGGAAGAAAGAAAGAAAGAAGGGAGGGAGGGAGGGAGGGAGAGAGGGAGGGAGGGAGGGAGGGAGGGAGGGAGGGAGGGAGGGAGGGAGGGAGGGAGGGAGGGAGGAAGGAAGGACGGAAGGAAGGAAGGAAAGAAGGAAGGAAGGAAGGAAGCTAGCTATGGGGAGATACAATGTCACACTCTCTAGAATAGATTTGTTAAAATTTAAAGATTATAAATATTGACAAAGATGTAGAGAAAATAAATCTTGTGTGTGTGTGTGTGTGTGTGTGTGTGTGTGTGTGTGTGTGTGTGTGTGTGTGTGTTTGATAGGGTCTCACTGACCTGGAACTTGCTTATAGATCAGGCTGACCTCAGTTCTCAGAGTTCTGCCTGCCTCAGCTTTCCCCGTGCTGAGATTAAAGGTGTGCACCACCATGTCTAGATTAAATCTATTATTCTTTGTTGCAGGATTGTAAAGTAAAACAATTCAGCATTTCCTCAAAATGGTAAACATAAACATGACATATGATCCAGCATAAAACAAGACAAATGGAAATTTATCTTCATATGGGGAAAAGTACACACAAAATGTCCCTACAGTATTATTCATAATGGCTAATAGTTCAAAGGTAAATGTTTATCAACTGATGAATGGCTAAACAAAAACTGATACATCTGTATGCAGTATTAAACATAATAAAGAGCTAAGCACTTATATGTGCAATGACTTGGGTGAGTCTTAAATTGTTGTGGTAACAAAGAACCAAATAGCAAAAAACCATCTATTACACAATGTCACTTATGTATCCAGAACCGACAAATCCATAGACTATACATAGAATAATGGCTTCCTTTAGTTAATGGACAAAGGAATAGAAAGAGGTTATTAATGTGTTTGGTGTTTCTTTTTGGGATATTAAAATGATTTAAAATTAATGAATTATGTTAAATTACATCTTTTAAAGCTAGTATATATTTTAAAAGACATTAGTGAGAAAACTAAAAGAAACCAAAGAGTTTGGAGATATTCACCTATTACATATTTTATAAAAAACTTATATCCATAATAAGACAAAGTAAGCTGCCACTTTAAAATAACTGATTGCTTTGGTGGTGCATTTCAACAAAGAAATCATACAAATAACCAAATGTACATGGAGAGAAATGTTCATCTTAATTAATCATTAGAGTAATGCAAGAAAAAAATCACTATAGAACATTTTACACCCAAAGGAAAGACTCCAACTGTCAAGACACAATACTGATGCCAGCAAACATGTGAAGGCACTGGACCCTTATACTCTTCTGGTAGAAATGTGAAATGATGCTGACATAGGGAAAATTTGATGATTTATTCAAAAACCAAAATGTTATTTATTGTGTAACCCAGCAACTCTATTCCAAGAATCTACTCAAGAGAAGTAAAAAACATATATACATACAAATACCTTCATATGAATGTTCATAATAGTAATATTTACAATGGCCAAAAAGTGGAAATAAGAAAATAATTGGCTGGCAAATGGATAAATAAAAGGATCTTTTCCATGAAGCAGAATACTTTCACCAATAGAGGGAAATTAAGAATCAAGAGGAAAGAAGTGAGGCATGAAATATAATATGTTGTGAGCCTGCTTTTGTGAGACATAGAAATCAAGAAGCTACAAAGCCAGAGGAGAGAGTGGTTGCCTGTGGTTGGAGGTGAGGACAACTAAGTAGAAGCATTTTAGGTGGAGGAAATGACCTAAAACTGGCTTATGATGATGGATGAGCAACCCTAAGAGCTGATCAAAAAAATCAATGAATATATAACTTGTGCAATGATACTTCAAGAAAAATGTTAAATAAGTCATCAATGTGATCTTACTAAACACTGATAAAACTGAAGCCTGAATCATGTCTGAAATGTGGTGTTAGCCAAATACATAGAGCTTTTCAAAGGCAACTTTAAGAAAGTGTCATCTGGTTATCAACAAATATGGCAAAGTATACTGGGGAAGTCCATGAGATCTCAGCCCTAAAAGAATTACAGTGAAATAAGGAATGCTCAAAGATGGAGAAATAATCTTCTCCATGGAAGCCCACCAACTGATTACCCACACCATGAAAGCATGAGTGTCATATGAGTAGATCATATCTGGGGATGTTATACACATGTACATATATGTATGTAACAATTAATGAAAAAGGAGGCCATGGATTTGAGAGTAAGGAGGGGTATATGGAAGGATTTGAGGGGTAAGGGAGAAATACTATATATAATCTCAAAACTAAAAGAAAAATTAAAAGGAAATGTCATCTGGCAGTAGCCATCCCTCACTCAAGAGTCCAACAGAAAAATTCAAGAGGGCAAAAAAAAATGGCCACTCTTCTAAAGGATAGTCCAAATAGTTACTTTCCAAAACCTAAAAGAATGATGGGGTAGCAGTATTGGTCAGATACATTTACCTTCGCAATTGTTTCTAATACCAAACTGATGCTGAAAGGAACGTGGGGGATATATTGTCAGCATAGAGGATAAAAACAAGGAAATCTTTCTATCTGGCACACTGTTGTTTAATTCTTCCTGGCATTTGACTTATATTCCATTGACACATTTCTAAATTCTCTCTCCTGAGTACAGGGAAAGGAAAAAAACACATTATCTGAGTAATTTATTATTTTATTTTACTTGTGTTTATAATATGCCAAAAACCTAGAACTGGATGAGCCCTAAATTTCCCCATAGTGTCCATACTTATTTTTTTTAAAAAAAGCAATTTTGCCCCTCAATACACAAAAACCTTTCGAAAGAAATCAGGGGAGAACTGAGCTGAAGCTGACTAGCCTCCTGCGTGTCACACACACACGTTCGGGATCACTTTCAAACAAGTTATGAAAATATGCTGTTGCTGCCATTGCACCTGAAGTCGGAGTGCAGCGGACTCGGAAGCACGTGTATGAATCCCATGGTCTGTCAACTCTGAGCGCTGCTTGATGGAGCCATGTCCCAGCTCCATGTCTCAGGGAGAAGAAAACCTGCCAAAAAAGAGGATGCTGTCGGACACTCTGTGCCTGATGAAGAACAAGAACGGGTGGTTACAGTGCATAAGTTCACAGCCTGCAGCTGACGAGACCATGAAGCCCATGCCAGTGCCTGCAGCGGCCTCAACGCCTTCCTCGGTCACCACCACGAAGGATCTGTGCAGAAACTTCTGGGCATGCAGCCCGGAGTGAGCAGACATTCCTGAGTAGTCCGCATGCGCTCTGAAAGCACTGTGCATGCCCATAGCTTCCAGCGTGGGCTCCAGCTCATAGGTCTCCTCCACCTGCATGCGAGGCAGACGCAGGTCTACTTTCCTTTGCTGCAGGTGTCTGGGGCTGGTCCACTCTACCAGCTTCTCGGGAGATAGTTTATCAATTATCTGCAGTTGGCAAGAGAAATCCAAGAACACTTTAAAAGCCACACACGGGCTCTAGCCGGCCAGAAAGCATTACTGGTAATAATAAACTCAGAACTTCCATTTCAGTCTGTTGTCTACATAAAAGAATGTTGTCTTACATTCTCTACCATATTTTCCTGTGTTATAGTGTCTGTCTATAGATAGCATGAAGGGAATCTTTCAAACTAAAAACAAGATATTTCAAATTCTGCATTTCAATTTCTTCTCTCTTCTAGTTTCTAGGTATGTATGGCTATATGTACTCACAGTGAATATCTATTTTATTGTATTTAACATCACACCACATGTCTCTCATAAACCAATAAAGTTAGGTAATAATTCTGTCAAGTTGCTATGCGTTAGACAGCAGTCAATATTACCCATTCCCCTTACAGACTTTTAATGTGTATGAAGCATTCTAATATAAGCTAATAAATTCTACAGATAGAAAATTAACAATTGTGACCCGGAAGCAGTGTCACAGGAAGGCCGGAAATTTAGGCCCAGAGCAGCATCAAGGAAGCCATGAGGATCAGAATTGGGAGCAGCTCCAGAGGTAAGCCAGAACTCCAGGCCTGGAGTAGCAGCGTCAGAGGGAGGTGCAAGCTTCAGGCACCAAGCAGCATCAAGGAAGCCACAAGCCCCAGATCTGAGAGCAGTGTCAGAGGGAGGTCCCAACCTCATGCCCAGAAACTAGGAGTGATCATTGTGTATAAGACAGCATTGGTTTCCAACAGTAGCTTCCAGAAACTATTGCAAATAGTTCCCCTGGGAAAGAGCACCTGTGTCCCAGCCAGCATCCACTGACATTTCTTGGTTGGAGATACCCTGCTACCTCATCAACCACTGGACCCTCAGCCCCACCTACACCTCCAACAGGAAGAGCATCCACTAGAGCTACAGCCCCACCTGCACCTCAAGGAGTGACCACTTAGCATTGGGCCCACTTCCACCAGGAGGAGCATTCAACAGAAGCTCTGCTCTACTTGTACCTGAAGGAGTGGTCAACGGAGCACAGCCCCCAACTGTACCAACTGGAGAAAGAGAGACCCCTTGAAACACAAGCTCCACCTATGCCAATTGCAGGAAGAGATGCATAGACAACAAGGTAAGAACACACTCAAAGCCTGGCGTTGGTGGAGCACACCTTTAATCCCAGTACTTGGGAGGCAAAGGCAAGCGGATCTATGTGAGTTCGAGGCCTGCCTGGTCTACAGAGTGAGTTCCAGGACAGCCTCCAAAACAATACAGAGAAACCCTGTCTCGAAAAACCAGAAAGAAAAAAAAACACACTCAACTATGTAAAGAGCAATAAGGCACCAATAGAAGCTAGTGGTGCTACAACAGCAAGACCTGAGCATCCCAACACAGATAAAGTAGAAGACAATTACCTAAAAAGCAACTTTATGAGGATTATTGAGGTCCTTAAAGAGGAAATGAAAAATTCCCTTAAAGAAATGGAGGAAAATGTGGTACACTTACACAATGGAGTACTACTCAGTGGAATAAAAAAACAATGGAAACTTGAAATTTGCAGGCAAATGGATGGCATTAGAAGAAACTATCCTGAGTGAGGTAACCCAGTCACAAAAAGACAAACATGGTATGTATTCACTCATATATGGATTTTAGACATGAGTCAGGGGAGTGCCAATTTACAGTCCCATTGACAAAGAGTCAGGGAAACAGGAAGGACCCTAAAAGAGATATGCATGGTACCCTGAAGAAGGTGGAATGAGGTAAGATCTCCTGAGCAGATTAGGAGCACAAGGGAGGAGGGAGCCAGGAAAAAAAGAGGGGGGAGAAGAGGAGGGGAGAGGAGGACATGGGGGAGCAGGAAGGTTGAGTTGGGGGAAGAATAAAGGAGAGGAGGATAAGAGATACCTTAATAAAAGGAGACATTCTAGGTTTGAGGGGAGATCTGGCACTAGTGAGATTTCTAGAGATCTACAAGGATGACACCAACTGGCAAACTAAGCAGTAGTGGAGAGACTACTTTAAACGCCCCTCCCTGATAATGATTTTGATGACTATCTTACATACCATCCAAGAACCTCCATTCAGTGACAGACGGAAGCAGAGGCAGACACCCACAGCTAAACACTGAATTCCGGGAACCAAGTGACAGAGAGGGAGGAGTGATGATCAAAGGAATCATGTCTGGGCTGGTGAAACCCAGAGAAACAGCTGACCTGATCAAGGGGGAGATCTTGGACCCCAAACTGATGGCTGAGAGGCCAGCATGGGACTGATCCAGACCCCCTGAATGTGGGTGTCAGTGAGAGACCTAGGCAATCTATGGGGCTTTGGGTAGTACATCAGTATTTATTACTGGCACACAAATGGACTTTGGGTGCCCATCCTACAATGAGGACACTTAATCTGGACACTTGGGGGAGGGCCTGGGCTCTCCCTGAAATGAAATGACAGACTCTAGAGATTCCCCCATGGAGGGCCTTACCCACCCTGGGGAATGGAGTGGGGATTGGGTGGGGAGCTGGGGGGGTTTGGAGGGGGTAGACACGGAGGGGAGAGAGAGGGAGCTAGGACTGACATGGGAAGCAAGCTTGTTTCTAATTTAAATATATAATAAAAAGTGTTAAAAAAGAAATGGAGGGACCAGTGCCTGCAGATCGCCTGGGAACTGCACAGAGCTCCCAATCCCGGCAGGAGCCAAGCACACCAGACTCCAGATCTTCTCTCCCACCAACGAGATCCTCTGAATGGATGGGGAACAGGGCGAGGGGGGGGGGTAGTGGGACCTGGGAAGAGTAGAGGGGGTAAAGAGGAAGGGAGTGGGTCATGGGGGAACAGGAAGTTGAGGGGTGGGGGTAAAATAGGGGGAAGAGGGAATCATAGGATCGAAGACAGATCAGGCACCAGAGTGACCTCGAGTGATCTAAAGGTATAACATCAATTGGCAAGCTAAGCAATAGTGGAAGGACCACCTCGAATGCCCATTCCTGATAATGAACTTGATGTCTATAACTATCCGGGAGCCTTCATCCCGGGACTGATGGAAGCAGAGGCAAACACACAACTAAGCACTGAACTGAACCCAAGGAACCCAGTGACAGAGAGAGAGGAGTGATGAGCAAATTGGCAAGGAATGGGCTGGCAAAACCAGCAGAGACGGCTGATCTGAACAGGGGAGTGCTCTTGGACCCCAGACCGACAGTGGGGAGGCCAGAATGGGACTGATCTGGTCCCCCCAAATGTGAGTGTCAGTGAGAAGGCCTGGGCAACCTATGGGGCTCTGAGCTGTGGATCAGTGTCTATCCCTGGTATACAATCTGTCTTCATGTGCCTATGGCACAAAGAGAGATGCTCTCTCAGCCTGGACTCTTAGGGGAGTGCCTTGACCCTACCAAGAGTGAAATGATAGACTCTAGACATCCCCTATGTGGAGGGATTTGGCAATAGGGTGGGAGGGAGGGTGGAAGGGGAGTGCGGGAGGAGGGGAGGGAGAGGGAACTGGGATTGACATGCGAAACAAGCTATTTAAAATTAAAATAAAAAATGATTAAAAAAAAAAAAAAAAAAAAAAAAAAAAAACACAGTCAGCAACAGAAAAACAAATATGACACGACCAGATTCTAGAGACTCCACACCAGTAAGACCCCAACATTCCAATGCGAACTAAGCAGAAGAGAACGACCTTAAAAGCACTTTCATGAAAATGATAGAGGCCCTAAAAGAGGATATAGGAAAATCCCTCAAAGAAATGGAAGAAAAAACAAACCAAAAAATGCTACAAATGGAAGAAAAAACAAACCAAAAAATGCAAGAATTGGAAGAAAAAACAAACCAAAAAAGACAGGAAATGGAAGAAGAAATGAAGCAAAAAATGCAAGAATTGGAAGAAAAAACAAAGCAAAAAAATGCAAGAATTGGAAGAAGAAACATACCAAAAAAGGCAGGAAATGGAAGAAGAAACAAAGCAAAAAATGCAAGAAATGGTAGAAAAAACAAAGCAAAAAATGAAAAAATGGAAGAAGAAACAAACCAAAAAAGGCAGGAAATGGAAGAAGAAACAAAGTACAAAATGCGAGAAATGGAACAAAAAGCAAACCAAAAAATGCAAGAAATGGAAGAAAGAACAAACAAAAAAATCATAAAAGGCAACAAACGGACGAAAAGATAAACAGAAAATTGCAAGAAGCAATGCAAACACTGCAAGGGTTAAAAACTGAAATAGAGACATTAAAAAAACACAATCTGAAGAAAGGCAGAAAATAGAAAAGCTGGACAAACAGTCAGGCACTACCAATACAAGCATTACCAACAGAATAGAAGAGATGGAAGAGAGAATCTCGAGTGTTGAAGATACACTAGGAGAAATGGATTTATCAACCAAAGAAAACCTTAAATCCAACAAATCCTTAACACAAAACATCCAGGAAATATGGGACACCATGAAAAGACCAAACCTAAGAATAATAGGTATAGAAGAAGGAGAAGAAATCCACCTCAAAGGGGCAGAAGGCATATTCAACAAAATCATAGAAGAAAACTTTCCCAACCTTAAGAAAGACATGACAATGAAGGTACAAGAAGCCTACAGAACACCAAATAGAGTGGACCACAAAAAAAATCCCTCGCCACATAATAATCAAGACCCCAAACATACAGAATAAAGAAAGAATATTAAGAGCAGCTAAGGAAAAAGGTCAAGTAAAATATAAAGGCAGACCTATCAGAATTACACCTGATTTCTCCATGGAAACTCTGAAAGCCAGAAGGTCCTGGATAGATATTCTACCTACACTAAGAGACCATGGATGCCAGCCCAGACTACTATACCCGGCAAAGCTCTCAATCACTATAGACGGAGAAAACAAGATATTCCATGACAAAACTAGATTCAAGCAATATGTGTCCACTAACCCAGCCCTACAGAAAATTTTGGAAGGAAAACTCCAACCCAAGGAAGCTAACTACAACCAGAAAAACATAAGCATTAGAGAATCCCTCTCTACCAA